TTGTTCAATTGGTTATTGAAACTCTCACTTAGTTAAGTACTCTTTCTCCCAATACTAAATGTTTTCTTTTGAAATGCCATTGCCAACCTTTCTCTGTTTTCAAAAGTTTTAGCTAACCATGTATTTTCTTAAAGATTATACTTGCCAATCATATCTTCCATGCATGAACAAACTCTTCCTTGTATAAAATATTATTAATGCAATACAAAAACTCTTTAACTAAGGTGTTATGCATTTGAAAGTGCTACCCAAAATGTATTTTTGCATTTTCCCACATGTGCCAAACGTATAATCAATGAGTAGTTTCAGGCAATATATTTTTTACAGCTTTTACCATTGCTTGATCTTGAGCTATAATAATAGATGTTGGTTTCTAACTAGACATTACTTGAACAAATGTCTTAAAAAGTCATTCAAATGATTCATTACGCTCATCGTAAAGAAGCATGGCCCCAAACATTACCATTTTTTTTTATGATTTATTCTAACAAATGATGCAAATAGTAGAGAAAGATTGTTAGCTTTATAGGTAGTATCGAAGCAAACAACATCACCAAAATGGCCATAATCAAGTACCATTCTTACATCTGCCTAAAACCCAAAGTTATCAAACCATCCACATCAAGTTGTACAGCATAAAAAAAATGATAGATTGTCTAACTATTATTTTTGGAAATAATTCAGCAACCTTTCAGCATCTCCTTCTTTCATATCTTTAATTCGTTTTAAACACAAATAATTATTATAATCAAGGAGGAGATAACCAACATTTTTTCCCTACTTATTTATTCATGAACTCAAAGGTTGATTTTTGTAGAATATCATAATCATCTGCCATATTTGCTTCAATAGCTTGAGCAACAATCACCTTTCTTTGTGAGGGCAGCATGTAAGCTTGTTCTAAAGATTTAAGCTCATGATTATGATTTTCTTCAAAATAGGTGACTTTATATTTTCCATTGGACTAGCAAGAAATAGTTATACGTGCCAAGCAACTTGTACTTACTTTTTTTTTAGGTCTCTTAACTTTCATGTAAGATTTATTTGGTATTCAAAAACTACTTTTGTAGTAAAAAAATCTCTGAGACACTACATGCCCATCTATTTTACTTTTATTCGAGAAATCTTTTCGAATACTACAACCAACCATTCCAGCATTATTGTTATAAAACCAATAAGCTTGATTTTTTTATTCAAATTACATGTTCAACTTTGATACCATCTCCAATATTGCCTTATTCGGATCATAATTTTCTTCTATTATATTTGCACTAATAAAAACGAATTGCTTATTAACATTAATACTAAAAGGATAAATTATAATTATACTTTTTTTTAATGGTCGCCTATTTTTTCCATTCTCTCTTAAAATACATACATGTTCTCAATAAAGAGTCCTTGCTGTATTACCTTTCACTTTAATGGTACTTGCCCATTAATATATATATATATATAATCTTTCACCTCTTGACTTAGTGGTTAAGAGGCTTTTAGAAAGACGTGGGGGTGGGTTCTAACCCCGTTATCCTCCTTTCTCTTTGAACAGGCATTTGCCTTCCTTTGAACAAAATATATATATATATATTTATCATATTTATCATTTTCATGATTTATCTTAGCCTTTATAATAAATCATATATTTTTAGGTATTGAATAGAACTATGAAAATAGATTTCAAATATCAATTCCTACTCTTAAAGTTCAAAAAACTATAAACTTTTCTTTTTTTGTTTTTAACCCACTTAGATCCGTAGGTTTTTTTACACTTACTTAGATCCCTAGTTAAACAAATAATTAAGATAGGTTAATTACATGTTGCGATTATTTTTATAAACAAATTGATCATGCCATCAAACTAATGCAAACTTATTTATAATTTCTTTTCTAATTGTAACTTCATTTGATTTAGATAACAAACTAGCAATCTCCTTAATAATATCATAATTGAAATGTGAATCCAATACCATAGGTTTAGATTATTAGTTGAATTGATAGCTACAAAAAATTGACCAAGGAAAACATAAGCCAAATTAATTATGATGGATGGGGAACGCAAGCATGGGCAAAATGTCAAGCCAAGGAGAATGTCAAGTTCAAATCATTATTTCTGTCACCAATCCTATGTAATCTATCATGATTTTATTTTTTATGTGTGCTTTGAAATAAAAGAACATTTATGAAAACAAATAAATTGTGAATGAATGTATTATTGTTAAATTTTTTATTATAAAATATTTATAAATAAAATAATATATTATTAAGTGGCGAAGCCAAAAGGCAGGCAGGGATTACGACTCTCTCAAAATATTTTTACCTTTTTTACACTAAAGTGCCTGAACCCACTAAAATATTACTTTGACCCTTTTTTCTTTTTGAAATTACTATTTGACATCTTTTTTTACCTAATTCCCACTTTCGTCACATTATTAATAAATAAAATAAATGTGAAGCTGTTGAAGAATGAAAAACCCTTATAATGACAAAAAATTGTGAACATTATTGTTCTCGTAACTGTAATAAAATTACTTTAAAAATGATTAATAATTATTATTATTATTATTATTATTATATTTTATAATAAATTATGTAAAATTAAAAAAATTAGTGAACACGATGAATTTAATGATTGCGATAACAATTATTATATCTATAATTATAATAAATATAATGTGATTGAAAATGAGATTGTGATCCTAATTTAAATATTTGATTGCAGGTTAATAACATTTAGTGCTTATTTAAAAAAAAAAACATTTAATCATGGAATGAATAACACCCTAAAATTATGTTTGATGTATATGAATATTGATACGATAAGATGATAATTATTTTATTTCACATTTGATTTGTATTCAAAATGAGATATATAGATTGTAAAAAGAATTAATATATTCTTGTACAATATTATTCAATCTTCTCAAAGTAACAAAATATTTTTTTAATTAATGTAATTAAACTTACATATTTAATTATATTTTTAAAAATTACATTAATAATTTAAATTATATAAGTTTTAATTAATGATAATTTTGACAAATAAATAAGTTATTCTATCATAATCTTTGTATATATCAAATATAAAATAAAATAATATTATTTAATCTAATTTTATTTATAATATGATTTTATTTTATCTTATTATAATCTTATATATTAAACATAATTTAACATTTAGTCTTAAATTAATCATTTAAACTATCATCTATAATTTTTATTCAAATTTTAAATCTAATATTAAATATATTGTCTTGCTGATGTTTTTTTTGTCTAAAAAATTTGAGGTAAATAAATTATTTAATCTTCAGATTATAATAAGATATATTTGTATCTAATAATTTAAGATAAATGATTACAGATAACATATTCGAGATTAATTCAATAAATTATCACGACTCAGAACAAAAAATAATCCTAACCGATTTAAACAGTTAGATGTTTAAAATGGCCAAAGTGGATGCGTCAATGGTTACCAAGTTTAGTAGACCCGAGAGACAACGGGCTCTATTTCAGGGGCTCGGCTCCTCCATGTCATAAGAAACAAAGCCATAACCCAACACAGAGACGAAGAAAGAGAGAGTTTGATAAAAAACATTCAAAGATTATTATGATTCCAAGTCTTTGATGATTCAAATAAAAGACTCCTTTCTTTCTCATTTCCTCTTACATCAGGTATGAAATTTCCTTTTTGGTCTTATTATATACATAAAAACACTAGATTTAATTCCATTTTTTTTTAAAATTTGGATTTTAGATTGGATTCTGGAAGAAGGGACTTAATTGAAGCTTGAATTGAGGTGAAGATATAGAGCTAAGTGATCAAGTTGCTTCTTTTCTTTTTTTTTTAATCTTGGAAGGTGAATTGTGGTGAATTTTATGGGGGTTCTTGAATCTTGATTGAATTTCTGCATTTTCTGTTGAAATATTGAATTGGGTTTCCTTTAAAATCCAGTTCTTTGTTTGTTTATGGGGTTTTAAGGTTTTGTTTGGGCTTTTGCTGGTCTGAACATTGCATTGAAGTTTAATGCAAAAGCTTAAAATCTGCACCTTCACTTCTCTTCCAAGAGCTGGAATTTGGTTGGTATTACTTGTTGTAGCCCTGGTGTTTCGCTGTTCTTGATGTTTAATTAAGAAAAACTTTCAATTTCAATGGCTACCTCGCCACAAGCTTCTCCTGTCTACTCTAAGACTATTACTCCTCAGATGGATTCTGCTTCACCTAATCCTAAAAAAGTTCAATTGCACCTATATTTCCTGTGCCAAATTTACAACAAAATCAGATCCCTTCCCATTCAATAAAAAATCCTACTATGCTGTCACAGGCAAATGGGTCAAAACTGGAGCCCAATTCCACATCTGAGTACTCCCCTGGCCCTCCTGTATTTACATCACCAGTCTGGCTTGCTTGCCGTGTCCACTCCGAATCTCCGCTTGCAACTTCCTCGCCATTTATTAGAACAATTAAAACGTCTAAACTCCAGGTTAGCTTTATCCCACATTTAAGAAAAATAAACTACGCTAAGATTCCTAGTAATTCAGTTTTTTGAGTATATTGTTTAAGCTACTTATGATGGGGACTTTTCTAAAGGTCCTTCAATGTTGATTGGTGAACAAGCAATGTTAAACTTACCTAAACGTAATGACACATGATAATTGTGGAGCTTATTCAAATCTGTATTCTAGCATACTAATTGGCTCAGGCCATTGCAGTGTATATCTGCTGGCATCTAAATGGAAGTGAAGGTGAATACATAGCATCAAGCAAGGAAGAGCTCGTAATTTTCCAGAGTTTGTTATCGCCTTTGTTGAATTTCATTCAAGAGGTAATAAGAGACCAAGTTTTGTTCCACTTACTGATTTGGGAACATCTGGCACTGGTTGTTCTTGTCATTGATGAATGTCTAGATGAGCCACACCTTCAGCATTTTCAGAGCTCCCTGCATGCATTTGTTGATTCTGTGCCACCAACAACAAGAATGGAATCATTTGTATGGTCGCACAGTATCAGTCTATGACTTTTTAAAAAATCAATAGCATCTGCTGATGTGATTCCAGGTGGCACTTCACCAACTCAGGAGACCTTGAAAGCATTGATTTATGGCACTGGTTTATCCTTTGTCACTAATCCATGCTTCAAAAGAGGTGGCACACCTGATATTCTCTTCATTGAGGCCATACAAGTTGAATGTTCCAGAAGCATCAAGAGATAGGTGCTTGGGTACTGCAGTTGAGGTTGCTCTGACTATTATTCAAGGGCCATCTGCAGACATGTCTCCAGGTATAGTTAAAGGCCAGGAGGTATTAGCAGAATCATTGTGTGTGCTGGTGGACCGAATACTTATGGCCCTTGATCCGTCCTTCATTCTTATACTCTTCCTAATTATCCTCATAAGGAAAAGACAGCAATGAAATGGATGGAGCATCTTGGTTGAGAGGCTCATCAACATAACACAGTGGTGGACATTCTCTGTGCTGGAACTTGCCCTGTACGGGTTCCTGTGCTGCAGCCTCTTACAAAAGCTTCAAGGGGTGTTTTGTTCTTCATGATGACTTTGGTGAAGCCTTTGGTGTGAACTTGCAGAAGGCATCTGCAAGGGTAGCTGGTTCGCATGGTTTGTTGGAGATACGCTGTTCTGATGATATTCTTGTTACTCAGGTCGTGGGTCCTGGTGAAGAGGCACATATTGACACCCATGAAACCTTTTAAAATTATATTTCTCTTTATATTCAAATGCTGAGTGTTGAAAAAACACAATGCTTCTCGATATTGATGGAGCATAAACATGACATCAAGAGTGATTTTGTAATTTTCCAGTTTGCCATTCAATACTTAAATGTTTATCAAGTTGATATAGTTAGAGTGATTACTATCAGATTGCCAACTGTGGATAGTGTTTCAGCCTATCTTCAAAGTGTTCAAGATGAGGTGGCTACAGTCCTAGTTGCCAAGAGGACTCTTTTGCGAGCAAATAGTTATTATGAAGCAATTGATATGCAAACAACATTAGATGAAGGAGTTAAAGACATTGGTTTAAAGTTTGGGTCCCAAATGCCAAATTCAAAGCAATATCGGTTCCCAAAGGAAATCTCTTTACTACCAAAGCTTCTATTCCATCTTAGGAGGCGCCCACTGTTGGGAAGTATAGTTGGTCACGAGGATGGGAAGTCTGTACTTTGGAATTTGTTTTTGAATGCATCCTTTGATCTTTCACTTCGCATGGTGGCCCCTTGCTGTCTGATGCACCGGGAAGGAGGCACTTTTGAAGAATTGCCTGCTTATGATCTTGCCATGCAGTCTGATACTGCTGTTGTTCTAGACCATGGTAGAGATGTCTTCATTTGGTTGTTATGTAAATCAATCCATCTTATAGCTTTGGCATGTTATATATCTGTTATATTTGCTTTCTGGCTGTTTTTGCTTTTATGTTATTCACCTTTGAGCCATAAAGTCTGGCATGCATGTGTCTGCTATATGTGGTCCATTTTTTGCTTTGTGATTGAGTAGGAGATCCATGAATGCATGTAGTTTGAAGGCAAGTTGCAAACAAAGACCTTAGCACATTTGTTCCTATGCTCTTTATGAACACCATCAAGCTCGGTTATTATTAAGATTGTATTTCTCTCTGTTAATATCAGGCCACGGTAGAAAAGAGATGCTAGCTTGATGTATGGGGAACTGGAAGTAAAGGTTTGGAATTGAGAAGCTATTCGTGCCTTTCTAAATGTGGTCACAGCTACCTCATCCATCTAACATTTTTATATCATGGTCACTTTGTAAATGCATTTTGTATAGCATACCCTTATATATATATACACACCATGTGACAACCTTGCCCTGGACGCATTCTTTTTGTTTTTCACTTTTATTCCACCTGTAAGTGTATGCCTGGTATGTTTATGTTATGAGAGAAATATCAGTGGATTACGTTTTTTAGAATCGACTTTAGAATCTATGTTTATTTATTTATTTAGTTTTCAGGGAATAATATTGAACATCTTCCTGTCAACTGCTGGCTTCAGGGTGCTGAACTTGCAGCTGATGAAGGACGAAATGCAGCAGCTTTGGCAGCTTGTAGAACATTGGCAGAAGAGCTCACAGAGTTACAATTTCCAGCACCTCGGATCCTTGCTTTCAAGTTTCTTCTTCCCTTATTTAGTCCGAATATTCTATAAACTGTGCATTGTTCCATCAAACAGAAAAAGAACCTAATGATCTGGTTTTATTGCAGGAGGGGAGCTCTGAGTCTCGATATTTTGTTTCTCGGCTGATACCAGCACACAAGGATCCTCCTTACAAACAGGTAAGAGAAAAAAAATAATGGGCAAACCTCTTTGCTTTTAGTCCTAACAGGTCTATCTGTTTCTGTATGTATTTATTGAAAAATGAAGGAATGCATATAGTTAGAAAACAGTGAAGTAACTATTGCTTGATGCTTATGCAGGAGGCAAATTTCCACAGCTCCAAACACTTGACAACAGAACAGTGGACAAAACTGAAAAGCAGTTTTGTTCATTTTGATGATCCCAGCTTCTGTGAATGGATTCGGAATTTGAAAGTAGTGCCACCAGAAAAAAGATAAGATATATTTTCCTTTTTTTTGCAGTTAAAATTCCTCCAAAAATCATTTATTGGAATCTTTCTGCTCTTCTTTTTCTTCTTCTCCCTATGAAAGGAATGTAACTCATTCATTTTTTCTTTTCATTATTATTTTTTTTCTTTTCCAGCTCTCCTTTACAAAATTTCCCTTTTTTTTTTATATATATAAAAGAAGTTGCAGGCGCTGGGATTTGAACATAGACCTGCTGGGTGTGATTGAAGGTAGTTCCATGAATCAACTAAGCTAAGTTCCAATTTTCTCACTCTTTTAAAATTGAAAGAAACAGTTATACTTCATAGTACTCCAAAGTTCAACTGTATTGTCTCATTGTTAGTTGAAAATTCTTTTGCTAGAGAAATAGTTTTACTTTACCTTGTATCATTCTTATATAAATTATGCCATTTTTTGTAAATCTCTTCCGATGGTATCCTTGAAGTTACTGCAACATGGTTGGTTCGGAGAAAGTCTAATTCAAGGAAATCAGACTCTTAATAGTTTTTTTCTTTGGTTTTGTATACAATTGAGCTAGCTGATAACAAATATTCTATTTGGAGCAATCAGGTTTTGTGATTTCACAATTTGGTTTGATTGAGAACAACTGATGAAATGATTGACTGGTAAGTAAACTTTTGTGTTGGTGGCCTAGTTTATAAGCCAATAAAGCATTGGTGAGCAATAATTTTGCTTAAAAAATGGTGAAATATAAATGTTAAAAAGGAGACTTTGGCGATTTGTATATTCGTATGGTATAAAATATTAAAATTTATGTTTTATTATTTTTTTTACATAATAATTACGTATCATAATTTATGTCGAAATGAAAATATAAAATATATTTTTTAATTATGTTAAATTCATATGTAATTATTGATAAAATTTTAAGTCGTTTTATATTTAGGTTTTATTTTCGTATCATATTTATATCATGTCATTATATCGAAGTTTAGATTGTTAAATCTAATCAAATCCGTATAAAAGATTTCACAATAAATTTATGTTGGTTTAAGTGACAAGAAATATTTTTTTATTTGCTGTTCGAGTTCAAATCGTTTTGAAAAAAATTATTTTTCACGAATTTATAAATAAGAATGAAATCGCAGTTTGGATTTGTGATTCTTAACTAAAACTGGATTTTGAGTGGAAAACAAAGATTTTCTCATGTTTTATAAACTATTATAATTCAAATCACGATTTTGCGACACAACTCAACTAGAAAAGGAGAATAAAAAAACAGAAATAACTTTTTTTGTAATTGTGTATTGTATTTCCTTTAGTACAATTAAATATTCTAGCATCAACTGCTATCCCATCAGTCCAAAAGAAAAATAAGAATACGAATATATTTGTAATTGGTTGGTTCGGTTTTTAAAGATCGATCTTTTAAAAAATATAATAAAAATCGATTGATTTATTTTTAAAAATAAAAAATAATTGAATTGACAAAAGGTGATCGAAAAATCAAAATTTGAATAACTTTTTGTCATTAATTTTGAATAATTTGTAATAATTTTTACCAAATAAAATTTACTTTATAATTTTATCATCAATATTATATTTGTTATTTTTATAAATATAAATTATTTTATCTATATTTATATTATATATAATATAATTTAAAAACTATCTTTAAAAATCAATTAATTTGATTGATTTAATTATTAATTTAAAAATAATAACCGGTCAAATTAATTCATTAAATAATTTTATTTAATAATAATTTTCAGAATTAAATGGATCAAAACAATCGATCGAATTTAATTGATTTTGATTAATCAAATCAATCAGAATCGATTTATACTCACTTTTATTTATTGGTATAGTAGAATCAAAATTAGAAGCATTTGGTCTCTTTGGGTTGAGTCAGTATATTGAATTAGATGTGATAATTTAAAATATAATATGATTATATAATATAAATATGATTCAAATAAAAAATTAAAATTAATATAATTTAAAATTTTAATAATAATTATATATAAATTTAATAAAATTTTAAAAATATATTTTATATTTTTATATTTACACGTAAATTATTATCCATAATTTTTATATAAAATATGATATAAATTTATAAATTTTAATGTATATATATATATATAAACACCACGAATCGTCGTGTCTACAGTAAAGGACAAAGTTCATGTCTACATTAAACCAGAAATTCACTAGTTAGTGAGTTGGTCCGGGCCTGAGTAGTAACGAGTACTGTTTTCCCACTAAACGGGTCATCCATTTCCCAAAAAATAAACAAAAAAGCAAATTTCATTGCTTACCAAAATCCAGTGTTTTAACATTCTCCGCCCCGCCTATCTTCTGTTATTTCTTTACTTCCCCTCACTGTGTCAAAAGAATCTAACGCAACCAAAGAATCTAACGCAACCAAAGAATCTACCACTATTCATTTCTCTGTAAGACTTCATATCTTCCCACATGCTTTCGTTTTTATTTACTTTCGCAGTTTTTCATTTACATTTTCGTAAGTTTTATATGATATTTTTGTTCTAATTCTAGACTCTGACAACATTAAGCATTTCTAGTTTTCTTGGGTGTTTTATGGTTACCCATCTGAACCTTGATCTGAATGCACGTGTCCTACAGGTGTTTCTGTTTTTTAATAAAGTAAAAGGGTCGTCGGACAGTCCAGGAAAAATCACTTTTAGTTTTGTCTTTGATCTCAAAGTTGGTAAAGGCGGTAAATGTAGACCTGGCAATTCGTGTATCATTGTCATATATGTTTCATTTCGTGTCAAACATATGTAAAATATGAAAATTATCGTATCCATGTCTGACATGCCAAACTCATATATGGTTTTTATCGAAATTTTAGACCGAGTTATATCGTTTAAGTGTCATATCATTATATCTTGTCAAAATTACTAAGTTTAGGTAACTGTTAACGGTAATTGCTTGTTCACCAATCAACATGGTTGTTCTCCAAGAATTTTTTAGAATGTTCAGGACCCATCATAAGTAGGCTTGAACAGATACTGAAGTCATTAGGTTGATAAACTATATTAATATTGTAATTAGTAGGGTAGGGGGTTTATTTTGCTTTAATGGGGATATTAATGTTTAAACTGATAGGTATGTACTGTTTCTAATTGTTCTAATTAAATGCTTTATTTTGTTTGTACTCGAAGTTGATGATATGGCTGGAGTGGAGCAGAGGCAGAACAAGTCTGGAGGTGGTAAGTATTTTTTTTGCTCAGGTTGGTTAGATTTCATTAGTAATGTGCCATAAAGGTGTGGCGGTTTCTAATTGTGTGGATGTTTTGTTGTTGTTGTTGATTTTTAGGAGGGAAAAAGAAGGAAGTGAAGAAGGAGACTGGTTTGGGTCTCTCCTTTACCAAGGATGAGAATTTCGGGGAGTGGTACTCTGAGGTGCAATGACTTAGTGCCTGTTATACTATGTTATTGAGATCTTAGTATCTTATTGTTATATCATCATTTTGGCTTTTGTAGGTTGTTGTCAATGGTGAAATGATTGAGTACTATGACATTTCTGGCTGTTATATTCTGAGGCCATGGGCAATTTCAATTTGGGAGATCATGCAAGTGAGTCATATGATGTTTATACTCATATTGCTCTTTAAATGTAAATAAGAAGTGTTTATTAATTACAAGGAAAAAAAATTTATGGATTTCATTCCTCGATCTTTGTTTTCTTTCTGTTTCCTTTCATGGTTAACTTATCCATGGTGTTAAACTGTAGACATTCTTTGATGCTGAAATCAAGAAAATGAAAGTCAAGAACTGCTATTTCCCTCTCTTTGTATCTCCAGGCGTTTTGCAAAAGGAGAAGGATCATATTGAGGGTTTTGCTCCAGAGGTGAGAAACAATTTTTTTTTTTTTTGGCATAATTGACCTTGTGGAATGCTTCGCAGCTTGAAAGTGTTGGTTTCTTTTTTATCAAACTTTTTGAAGCCATTTGAAACTCATTTTGTTCCTAAACTTTTTTGCCCTGTTTTCAATGATTTACTTCATTTTGTGGAAATCCATAGTTTAGTTTCTATCTAGGGCTCAAATTGGAGAAAGTTTTTATCTAGGGCTAAATTTGGCAAGTTCTTCCTCATTTGAGCAAGATACTTTCATGAATATGCTGAAAAAATGGCAATATTTCGATGTTTTTATACTTTTTAGCACTGGACTTATGCAACACTTAAGTTTTATGCATTTTTTACTAGAAATGTTATGTGATCTAATGAAAAAATGACATGTGAATGGCTTTGGGATCCTGGTTTAATCAGGTTGCTTGGGTGACCAAATCTGGGGAGTCTGAGTTAGAGGTGCCAATTGCAATCCGCCCAACTAGTGAGACAGTTATGTATCCCTATTATTCTAAGTGGATTAGAGGACACCGTGACTTGCCTTTGAAACTTAACCAGTGGTGCAATGTCGTTCGATGGGAATTTAGCAATCCCACACCATTTATCAGGTAATTGTCTTAAAATTGGTCAACTTTAGCTTTTCCGGTGTTATCCTGCATCCTTTTCCCCCCTCTCCTTTTCCGGATGGGATATGGTATGCCATACATGTAATGAGATGTTAATTTTCGTAAAATTTTCTAATCTCGGTTCAATTTTCTTATCCTTAGTTATTAATGTTTACAGATGAGAACATTATTTTCTCAATTCTTTTGATGCCAAGTTAGAAAATTAATTTAAAATGATTTGATGATAGATTGGTCACCACTAACTTGCTTCTTAATTGTAGGAGTCGTGAATTTCTATGGCAGGAAGGGCATACTGCCTTTGCAACAAAGGAAGAGGCAGACACAGAGGTAGCATAGACTTAAAATTTTTACCTTTGATCAACATTTCAACCTTAGAGAGCTGAAGTTTGCCCATTGTTCTATTGGTGTACAATGGAATAGGGAAGGTTAAAGTAAATAGAAATTTTGCATGGCTGATCCTTTTCTTTTTCATATTTATCTACAATTAAATTTTGGTTTAAAATGGCATTTTTGCCTCAGAATTGCCGAATGAAGTATTTAAGTAAGCATTTCAGAAATTTCCCATGTGATCTTATTTTGAATAATTTCAATATTTTGTTGGTTTCTGTGCTGTGTCAAAAGTCAAAGTCATATTTCATTGCTGTTACAGATTTCACTTGTCTTGCCTTTTGAAGTATCATTGAAGGATGTGCTAGATCCTTAGAACCTTTTATGTGTGTCTAAATATGGTTTTGTTGGTGAATATATTATGGAAGGGGGACTGAGGTGGCAAAAATGACATGCTGAGTTATATGTATTTATTGTTGAAATACTTTGTGCTTGGTAGATTTTAGACTTTAGTTCCTACTTCTAATCACTCTTGCAATAGTTGTACTGCTTCTCATTTTCACATCCTTTGCGATATCTCATGCTGTTAACTAAACAGGCAAAAAAGGGACTTAGTAGCCAATAACAATGGTAGGGATGTCAGCCGGGTCTCTTTACGTATGTCTAAATTTTGTTATATTTCAGGTTCTTCAAATATTGGAACTGTACCGATGTATATATGAAGAATTCTTGGCTATTCCTGTTACAAAAGGCAGGAAGAGTGAACTAGAGACGTTTGCTGGTGGACTTTACACAACTAGTGTCGAGGTATGGTATAAACTATTATGCATATATACATGTAATAACAATCTCTACTTATTGGCATGAACAACGAACTTAAATTGTCTGCTTGATCAATGTGCTTTAATATAAATTGAGGAACTTTTAATCTGTTCATAATATGATAGGCATTTATTCCAAACACTGGGCGTGGTATTCAAGGTGCAACCTCCCATTGTCTGGGCCAAAACTTTGCAAAAATGTTTGAGATAAACTTTGAAAATGAAAAGGGAGAGAAGGGTATGGTCTGGCAGAATTCCTGGGCGTATAGTACTCGAACGGTAAAACTTTTTGTCTCTTTACTTAGAACATTCTTAGCATTTATCATTTCAAGTCCTTTGTCATGCTATCCCTACCATTTATGTTTTGTGGTTTTGGGTGATTACATGGGGTTGGAATCCTTAACTACCATATAATTCCCTTTCTATTCTTTTCTCCTTATTCCTGCTACTCTGCTTATGTTTTCTACTGTTTTTCAAATTTTCTCAGATTGGGGTAATGGTTATGGTTCATGGGGATGACAAAGGTTTAGTGCTGCCTCCAAAAGTAGCAGCTTTGCAACTTATTGTGATTCCTGTGCCTTACAAAGATGCAGATACTCAAGGTATTTTTGATGCTTGTGTTGCCACTGTGGCAACCCTCTCAGATGCTGGCATTCGTGCTGAAGCTGATCTTAGAGATAACTACTCACCTGGTTGGAAGTATTCAAACTGGGAAATGAAAGGTGTTCCCCTAAGGATTGAAATAGGACCTAGAGACTTAGCAAATAATCAGGTGAACCCCCTTCTCTTTTTTTTTTTTTGGATGCTGCTTTCCTTCTATTCTTTTATTTATTAATTTGCTATTGTACTTATACAGTTAAAACCAGAAAAGTGCTTTATTTGACAGGTACGTGCAGTTCGCCGTGACAATGGAGCAAAAACTGATATCTCAAGAGTCTTTTTGGTTGAACAAGTAAAAGGAATGTTGGATAAGATTCAACAGAACCTGTTTGACGTTGCAAAACAAAAACGAGATGCCTGTGTTGAAGTTTTAAAAACTTGGGAAGAGTTTGTAACAGCTCTTGGGCAAAAGAAACTGATCTTAGCTCCTTGGTGTGATGAGGAGGTATGACTTGAATTTGCAGAATCCTTATTCTTTACAGGGACCATGACTATTTAGTATTTAATCAGTGTTCCTTTAGTGCTTATCTGCTACACTTAGTCTTTGCATTGAATCATTAGGCTGAAGTGTTTTGTTGGTTATAAAAATGAGTTGGATCATATTTAGAACGTCATTAATTTCCAAGATTACCTCTCCAGGCATTTGTTGGTTAGAATGGTCTTGCTCGTTCATAAAGACTTCAGTTTCATAAAAGACTTTTAATGTTTTGTATAAATGTAGGATGTGGAGAAAGACGTGAAAGCACGAACGAAGGGTGATATGGGAGCAGCTAAGTCTCTTTGTACCCCGTTTGAACAGCCTGAACTCCCAGAAGGTAAAGCAGGCATTTATTTTAAACAGTAGGATACTTTCCCTCCCTCATAATACTAGTAGTATTTTGTTTTTTAATAAACTGTTACTGCACCAGCATGCACTAATCAGCAACTGCCAAGAATCTTAATCTGTGACAAACTACAAAAAATTATTGGAAATTTAGAGAAATCATACTACATTAAGAGGAATAAGAGATAATAAATTAATATTAATCAGTAGTTCAATTAATTTGAAGGATTAAGTAAAAATCCGGCACCCAGTGAGCTTGGTTCAGGTAAGATGTGATTGCAAATGTGTCATTGTGATTGAACCTGAAGCTTAGCTCAGTTGGTTCATGTAATCACTCTTAAGAAGTGGTATCTAATAAATCTAGGGTTCCAATCTCAGCACCTGCATCCCCCTCTCTTCTCCAGGCTGCAACCACTTTTGTATCAAAAAAGAAAAGCTTACTTAATCCTTTTGTAACACACAGTCTTTTCTCATTTAGAATTTTTTAAATTTCTCCTTACATTAGTATTGAGGGAATTCATGTGTAAATGCTGTTTGATTATTTGTAACCTTACATCCACAAAAAGAAAAGAGGAGATTATACGTCTTCTATAGAATTCTCTTCTCATCAAAAATGAAATTATGCAGGTACTAAATGCTTTGCCTCTGGGAAGCCTGCAAAGAAATGGACCTATTGGGGTAGAAGTTACTAAGATTATTCTCTTTTTATGACCATCTCCTTCACATTGTCCTCTGTCTGATGTCAGCTGTGCTGGTGTGTGGACCATTCTTAACAGGATAATTTTCAATTTGAAATTGTTATATGAAACTGATGAGAGTACTTGGTTTTATTATCATATAGTTAAGAGTTCACTTCGATGCATGGTGGGAGAACTCCCACCGCGCCGCGCATGTCATTTTATTCATTGGACCCTTGGAGGTTAAGTCATAAAAATGCAATTACGGCGCGGTGAAAGTCTCTCTCACTATGTTACCAAAGGGACATTAAAACTTGTGGGAATTTTTTTTTTTTAATTTTCGCCAAGGGTGTATTGTAGAACTTTTGCTTTGCTACAATTGATTTACTGCTCTATTTGTGATATTACAATATTAGAATATGGTGATGGTACTTGAAGGTTATAAGTTTCTTGTTTGGATTCATTTGGTGATGGCTTTGACTTTTATTTCTCTGTCATTGTTTCTTGATACTGTTCATTAGTGGATTGTTCTTCAATTGAAGCAGTTGAAGGAGAATTTCACGAATTACAATGACACGTAAATGATATCAAAAAATATTAAAATAATATGATTTAAAATTTTAGTAAAAATAATATGTTAAGTTTAATAAGAATAAAAAATATATATTTCGTATTTTTTTTTTGTTAATATTAGTTGTAATACAAAATTTTTATATAAAATATGATATGAATTTATGAATTATTAATGTTTTTATAACATAAATACATGAATTAATTTTTTTTACATGAGTAAATGTCACTCATCTGTCATTTCTTTTTGGTGATTAAAACATGCAGAATGGCAAAATAGTTAAACTGTAGTATGGATGTCCTCATTTCCAACTGGTCAAAATTTACCATTAAGGCTCGTGCCTGGCCTCAAACATTTAAACGTAAAACTTACTCTCATTGGTTATAGCCAAAAATAACCAAAAATTTTCTAACTTCACAATGTAATAAATTTTGAATCCAAAAATTAATTCAGTTGATTCATACAATCATCTTTAAAAGATAGCATATAACATATTTGAAGTTCAAATCATTTGTAACTCATTCTTCTATTCCTAGATTACAACCTTCTTTATATATATATATACATATATAAAGAACAAATTCCTGGCTAAATTCATCGGTTCGTTTCTATTCTGACCACAAATATCTCATTGGACTTCAAGCAATGCTCCTTGATTCACTTCATCACCATCAAGAAGTTCCTGGATTATTTGATTGATAGCATTTCCTCGAGCCTATGTTTTGTAAGACAAATATTTCAGCACACAATCAAAACCACAACAGGATAAGACAATCTGCAAAGCGGAAACCCCTAACCTTTACTCCAATTGCAATTGCTGTTTTTAGCTTTACAAGCTCACCCAATCTTAGGGACCCCTTTTTATCATCTCTAACAATCATCAATGGTACCTTCCTTGACAAAGCCAACGTTGGCAGGTGCTTTATTAGCCACTTTGGACTGCAATCAGCAGCTAACAAAATAGCCTACAAGCTCAAAAAACATATAACAAACCTTAAGCAGTGCTTGTGAAAACATGACAGCGAAGGATCCACATGGATGGATGGCGAGATTCAAAACAGCGGTGGTAATGAGATTACATGAAGTTTAATATGCAAGCAGTAAGATTAAAATCAATGATGAAAATATGTAATTGAATATAATCGCAAAGTGATGGGAAGATTGAGTATAACAATCGGTTGCCTCACTAAAGCCAATTGATTGTCACAATTGCAAAATGTCTTCATTTTCATTTTTACGCTAAGGCAGTCGACTGCTCTAGGATCTAGATGTTCACTGAATCCTTTCCCCCAGCCAACTGCACCGCCGGGTGCTTTTGGATAGCATCGTGCGGTACAGTTGGCCCAAAAAAAGGTTGCGATGGAATCAAAACTAGCCCTTAGTATAACAAACATATTGCAATAAACAACTAAGTATAGATTGTTATAAAGGCATGACAGATCACTCAAAATTTAAATCTAGAAACAGGGAAGCCAACCTGAAGCCTAACACAAGGAGATTGAGCAGAGCTTCCATTCTCAACACCGGGTGCCATCCGTTCAAGTACACGAGTCACATCATTAACACCAATGGCAAATTGTTGCTAATAACGATGCACCAAATACAATATAACAATCAGATAATAATAAAACCACAAGGATCATCAAAGAAAATCAATAAAGCATTGAACAAGAGATCAAACCTTAAGCCATACTTTTTCAGGCAAGGAGTTTCCAGCCAATGCTCTTGCTGACTCTACCCCTCTGTTCATTGCAATAACTTCAACTATTACCTCTGAAAAAGAACAAGAATTTGAATACCAAAAAAGGGTATTCTTTAATTATTGATAATGTGTTCGAATCGTTTACCTTTGGATTGATTTAAGCACGTGAACAAGACGCTCCCCTTCATAACAACTGCCAAGATAAAAAATAAAGAAATTAAATCAAAGGCCCAAAATTTGCATAAAATCCAATGAAACAAAGGCAGACTTACTCTTGCTGCTGAGGAACGGAACCGTCAAGAATGTTGTTTTTGGCTGCCTTATTTCTAGCCGTCATGTTTCATTTTAGAGTTCGCTACTTGTTTGATGAAAAGCTTGAAAAAAAATTGGTGTAAATTGCCTAATATAACTTTGATTTAAGCCCATAGGATTTGGGTATTGGGCCATTGAGCCTTTGCGGCCAATTCATTTAATTATCAAGATAATTAGCCCACAGCTAGATCCAGGCTTTGAGCTCTTATATTTTAATTTTCATTCCTTTTATTATCATTAAAGGAAAAAAAAAGAAATAAAAACTAAACCCAATGTAATAAAAATCTTATATAAATATATAAAAATAAAAACTTTTGGTAAAAAAGAAAAAAGTCTAATGTAGAATTTCTATTCTTTTGATATGTGGACAATTTTAAACAATTATCACGTGTCTTGCATCTAATAAATATACATTCTTAATTTAACAAATAATTTTAAAAAATTAATTGCAATTATTACTTCTAAATAACTAATATTTACACCATATATATATATATATATGGTAATATGTAAATTTTATGTGAAAGGAATTTGATAATGAAGGCAAGTATTTATTTCCTTTTTTGCTATGCAAAATTAGTCAAATTTTAAAATCATAGGGATTTTTCCTTTGCCATAAATAATTTATGTTGGCTATAAACACCATCCTATAAAGGTGATTGTAGACATGGATTTTAAACTTAATCGGCTAACTTTTTATTTATTTTATTTTTTATGCAATAACCAATGGGTGTTAAAACATTTTTCTTTCATTTTTTTAATACAATTTAATTTTGTGCTACCTTAATTTATCCGTTTGTAGTATATTTTATAGTATATTTCCTTGGTTTTATATATTTTATATTCTTTTTATTGTTATTTTTTACATTATTTTGATTTATCAAATTGTTAGATTATTTATATTCCTTTGGATACTATACAATTTTTTTTGAATGTTTATTAGCATATCTTACTTTTTCATAAACTTATTTTAGTACTTAGGAAGCTTGTTTTGTTATTAACATCTCTATATTAGTGGTATTGTCAATGATTTTATTTTTTAAACTTTATTATCTCCTTTTCTAATTTTTTTTTATGAATAAATGTTTATAAATAATATCTATTATATCCCATATATAAGAAAAGTTGTATTTTGGAAAAGAATAATATTTTTAAAAAGTGTGCATTTTTTTTAAAGTGGGTAGTTTTTTTTTTTTCAAATAAAAAATATATACATATGCATATTTAGTTGTATATTTTTATATTTTATTTTATTTTGTAATTTTTGTAATTAAGCCATAGCATTATTATAGATGAAATACTATTTCGATGCGAAATACTTTTATATAATGTCCTTTAATTTCATAAGACCACATTTTAATTCATAAAAAAATTTGTACAAATGTATATCTAATTTTTTTTTTGTTTGCCATTTTTAAGTATGCATTATTTATATATAAATATCTTCATAACCAAAAAGAAAGCGAGAAAGAGAAGATTTTATATTTATCTTTTTTATTAATTATTGTATTTATTATTATATTTAAAAACATTATGAGATAAAATTTTTATTATCTAAATTGGCATTATTCATTAGTATTTGAAAGAGATTTTAAAAACCAGAACCAACTATTCGTGACATAAACTATTTTTAACATTATTTTTGTAACATACAAATTTGCATTTACAACGAAAAATTTGCTATTATGAAAAAAAAAAAGAATTTGCTGTTGATGATGAGAATTAAAGTTTTATTATCTTTTATATGAATTTTAACTTGGAGTAATTTAATATAAATAACAAAAATAATTTTGTATTTAATTAGTTAAAAATAATAAAAATTGACTATTAACAAAATTAGAACTAATTATATTGAAAATATTCAAATTAGTAGTAATTACGCATTTAATATTTTGTCAAACACTCCCATAATAAAAGCAAGTAATGGAAATGAAATCAATGAAAATTTTAATACTTATATATAGTTTTCAAATTATTATACTATATCTTTTTGACAATTGATTTTGTAGACAAATATTTATATTGGTTGCAAAATCCTTTTGTGTATTTGAATTTTGGTAATTGAATTTTCATTTATATATTCATTTGGGTTAATAATTACATGAAAGTGAGTTATTTTTATAAATCTAACATATAAGTTTATTTTTTTAAAAGAATATTAACTTGTAAATTGGAATAAATATAAACAATGCAAAATTAATAAAGTAATCTTGAGTTAATTCAGAATTTTCTATAAGATATATTCACTTTATTTTCTTTAACAATATTGCTCATTGAATATTTTAAAAGTTTTATTTTCTTAAATGTCACATAGATATATGTATATGTAAATTTTGTATTTTTTAATTAAAAAAACTATTTGTGTGTATAATAATATATATATATATATATATAAACATTAACCCGTACATCTCATGGATTATAAACTAATTATAAATAAAGAGTAAAGCAATAGGCAATTTATATGTACGGATTTTTTTTTTTTTAATTTTAGGAGCCATGAATTGGAACCCAGGACAATTTTCGGTATTGGTCCTATATCCTTGACATGTTTTTAGCCCAAGTGAAATTACTGGAATAAATTTCAAAAATTAAAATCAAAAGTATCAATATAATTAAACTTGAAGTTTAGCAAAATTAGTTCATACAATTATTTTAAAGTTTAGACATCTAATAAATTTGAGGTTAAATCGCTACTCATGTGACAACTCTTTTTTTCAATTATTAAACTACAACCTCTTTTATGAAAAAATATCAATATGATTAATAGGTAGTTAAGTTAAAATAATGAAAATCAAGCAAAAAGTTATTATTGCTGGTCTTCAGTTGAAGAGCTTTAATGGAAGTTTGTCATAATTTATGTCGACATAAAAACATGAAATACATATTTTTACAATTTGTGGATAGACTTGTTTTTATTCATTTATTGAGATTAACAAATAATCATGAATAATATTACAAGGTTCGTTAATTAAATGAACATATTGCGAACATAATAAAGCTCATTCATATTTTGTTCGTTTACATTTAAGTATATAAATAGTTCATGAACATGCTTGATTTTTGTTTATTTATTAAATTTAACAAACAATCACAAACAATATTTGGCTTCATTAATTAAACGAATAAATCACGTATATAACAAAATTTATTCATATTCGATTGGTTTACACCCTTACCTTCTTTCGAACTATCAATTAAAGTATATAACAAACTACTAGTAAAAACACAAAAAACAAATAGGACACAATTTTATAAATTCCCTATTTTCAATGATGATGATGAATGAGAGGTTGAATTTACATGTGGCATTTTTTTTTACCTTTTCAACATATTTTATGAACTAAATTAAAAAAAAAGATTATGATCTCATGAAATGAAATAGGAAATTGGATGGATTAAAGAATTTAAGATTCCTCATCTCTATCTTATACAAGACTTTTAATTTTTAAAAAAGTCTCTCAAGAAAGAGCACACGCCAGAAACCTTATCACACATGATATACCATTACCAACTACACCCGTTTTCAATTTCATCGAGTATGTACTTATTTTTAGCTTCATTAAAGCTATTAACTTTTTTGGGTAATCCTTCATTTCTTCTTATTAGTGTATTGTATAGAATAGAAGGAATGAGAAAAAAAATTAATGGATCAAGTGAAGACATCAGAAGGACTTATTGGTTAATTTTAGGTGAGCAACAATGATCACCTTTAATAGTTTTTCTTTGGGTGGTTTTAGTGGTTTTCCCATTAACCCATCTAATCACCCATACTTACACACACTCTTCCTCATCTTCCCAGTATATTCCTTTTGTCTTTTTTTTTTGTTTTGATCAAATAAAAAGGAAAAGGTTTTAGTTGAAAAAGTATGAGTTTTGTCGCATCTGCAAGTTGTCTTCTTAAGTGTTTAAGATGAAAGAGAAAACACACATCTCATGTAGAATGAATTCTTAGGTCATTGCTTTTCCTTTTTATTTTTTGTTTTGTTGTTTTGAGTTTTCATTTTTTTTATTTAAATGTGACTTACTTTGTTCCTATTATTTTTGCTACAAAACTAAGTTCTTAGATTTTGAACAAGATCTTAATCAAATACTTAAATTGTGTTATGAAAGAACAATTTGATTGATCTAAATTTTTTTTGTACATGTTGTTGGGATCTAAATGAGCAAAATGGTTCGTCTTTTTAGCTTTTATGATTATGGTATACTAGTAGTGGTTATAAACAAATATATTTTGCTTTTTCCCATTTGGATTAGCTGTGTCTTCTCTCGGCCTAATTATAGTGTTTGTAAAATGTAGTTTAGTAACAAATAATTGAGTGATTTGTCAAAAAAATGAAAATGGATAATTATGTCTTTGAAAAGTTTTTCTCTGGCTAGTTATAGTTTTAAATGCCAACAAATTAAATTTTGGTATTTTTGAAGAGATTAAGTTATTCAAAAGCTCAATGAAAACAGAATCATAGAAAACTTTACATTTAATGTGTGATTGCTACTTTTTATCCTGTAAGTGCATAGGTCACATCAAGTAATAAAATAAGTATAATATCATTCTCATGAGGATTATATGTAGGGTGTAAAACCAAGTACCAAAGGAGAATCTTTCTAACTTTATATTTAAATAGATAAAGAATTGATTAATTGTAATTGAAAGTAAAGTATAATTAATAATTAAATTGATACTAACTTAATAATTAAATAGATTTTGGTAGAAAACAAAAACAATAACACTGAAATTCAAGGTGACAAGTTTCAAATAGATATATCAACAATAACATTTTGTCTAAAAAGAAAAAAAAATTGAATTCATGGGATTTCATCTAAAGTAAACTTTAAAATGATATAACTAAATTCATAGACATAATTTTTTTTCCCAAACTCTTGACAACTTAATTTTTAGTGACAACATTTTATAACTTTAATAGCTTTAAGATGTCATTCCCACCAACTATTGAATGTTAGCTTCAAAATGTCATTTTTGTTGCTTATTGAATGTTACCTAAACTATTACAAAAAATATCATAAAGAAACATTTGGTTTTGATGGAAGCTTTTTAAGTTCAAGATGTAGACCCTATTGGTTGTGTAATGAAATTCAATTTATGAGACTTAGGTATATAACACAAAAGAAATAAGGATTTAACCTTATTTAAAG